AGTTCTTCTTGGGGCGCCTAAATAATAAAATAAAAAAATTAAAAATAAATAAAAAAATGCCAACTTCAAAAAGCGTGACACAGAGCGCATTTATGGGTTCCGTAAAACGTGGATCATTTAACAGAGTTCATTTATCGGTGAACCTAATGTTAGCAGTTTGTAATTTACTAAGCCAAGCATATACTTTTATAATATAACTGTTATATTATAGAGACATATAAACGAAAGAATTATTCAACTTCAATCAATTTCCAGAGCTCTTATAAAATCTGGAATTCGTTTTGTCAACCAGTAACTATAGTGTATTTTGTCAAATCTCTGGCTATACCAAACCTATCATATGGATTAGAAATTTGTGATTATAACAATACTTTTCTTAATAAATTAGACGCTGTTGGAAGATCAGCATTAAAATTTCTGTTTAGTATTTCAAAATATAGCAAAAACTGTCTGCATTCCTATTTTAAAATCGATGACGTATCTACCATCCTCGTTCAAAACAAATTAAATCTGTTTATCAGATTACTGAGCAAATTGACTTGTTTTCCCATGATTTTAACTCAAATATCTAATGTTAAGAAGGATAACTGCTTTATCAATAAAGTAATGAAAATTTGCAACCGCCTGGAGCTAAGCTTCAGTGTTTGATTAAGGGGAAAAAAATCATTATCAAATATCGTAACGATGACGTAAAAATAATAAGGAGGAAATTTTAAACCAGTCCTTTGAATTCCGGAACATCAGAGACAGAAAATGATATTCAAAAATTTGATGGAAAAAAACATTCCAAAAAGAATCTAAATTAGAATTTCAACTTAGAGTATAAACTATTAGTCTTATTACCTTTGTATTTTTTACCTGTAATTTGGGTGATGAGAAGAATAATTAAATAAGTAAATATGATAAGCTTAGTAAATTACAAACTGCAAAAAGTAATTAATATTTTTTTTACTTTTCTTGTTATAATAACAACAAGAAAAAAAAATTGTTTTCTTTTTGCAAATTCATAAAACTGCAGATAAAGCAACAATTATCTTCACTGAAGATAATTTGTTGCTTTATTGCATAATAGCATAAAGTAAATAATCCATTATAAAAAGTTAACAGCTTTCTAAATGAGTACAAGTATATCCAATTTTGAGCATTTGAGATATGGTTCTGAACAGAAACTTTTTTAATACAGAAAACATAAAAGAATATACTTCACAAGACAACTTTCTTGCAAATTTCATTTAATTAAACATTATTTTGCTCTAAAGCCATTTGTACATTACAACAAATGTCAGACATCATAAATGCACTTAAAGAACTTTACAATGCTATTTGCAAAATCCTTATGAAATTCATCGGCTTTATTATTATGCAGTTTATCGGCTTACACAATTTATGTAAAGTGTAATTATATTTTATGATTGTTAACGATCGATTTGCGTTAATTGTAAATAGTTGTAAATAATATAAAGTCATAGTTGTAAATACCAAGAGAATATTCTCTTGGTATTTACAACTATGATTCATATTATGATTGTTGATTTTTCCTTTCTAACTTAGAAAAAAGTGCAATTTAACTTTTGGTGGTGTAACGTGACCCGAATCAACTATAAATCATATTATGATTGTATATAAATTATGTTGAGTTGCATTAGAAAAGATGAGACGTTTAATGCTAAACTTATAAAGTCGATTTTGATGTGAAACAACAAGCTATTTCGGCAAAAATGTTGACTAAAATTGATTTAAAGTTAATTCTAGAGTTAGGGGAAACGATCAACAATCAGTTGTAAAATGGCTGGAAAGTGGAGCTAGTATGCAAACTAATTGGTGTAACCAATCTGGCGAGTGTTGTTCCCTTCCATCTTACAAATGGTGCATTTGCAGTATATCAACAGTTAGCAGAAAGTAATAAAGAAGATTTTGACCGGATAAAAGAGGCGTTACTAAAAGCTTTTGCCGTTGATGTATTTACAGCTTACAAACAATTCGTTACAAGAAAGTTAAAGTATGGAGAGCCAGTTTATGTTTATTTGGCGGAACTGCGGAGATTATCTACGCTGATGGTGGGTTACCAGACAGACCTATTGCATGTGCCTTCGTTTCTGGGCTTCCTGAGGAAGTTTGACGGATGCTGAGATCAAGTTGTCGTACGGATGATCTTACTACTATACAATTACTTGCACGAGCAAGAGTACTCGTGATTGAAGAACGGAACGATAGAAAAATGAAAATTTTGCTGCTGCTGCAACAAAAAAAAATGCTGAGTTGAGGTTGCTTGAAGATCAAACACAACCAGTTTGTTATGAATGTAAACTCCTAAATCATTTTGCAAGAGATTGTCATCTACGAAGACATAGCAATTGAAGCAAGTTGGGAGACGGGAGACAAGCGATAATTTGTGTTATTCGTGTCAAGAGAAAAGACACATATCAAGAATGTGTCCAAAAAATGTGCTAAGGGAAAAATTGTTTGCGCCAGCTCTCTCCCCAAACGATCAATAATGGCGTTACCTACTATACGCTTGGACATTAACGGCGTTCTTCGTGATGTGTTGATTGATTCTGGATGTACCTGTTGTATCATTTATAAACAATGTGCGCCAAAAATTACGAAGAAAGTAGTTAGCATGGTAACTGTAAATGGACAAAAACAACAGTGCGATGGCGTTAGCCGAACTCGAATCGTAACGCCGAATGGGAATGAAGTTTTTGTTGAAACACTTGTAATTGACTTCAAACTAATTGGTTATTGTTTTTTGATGGGTATGGATGGAATAGTAGCTTTTGGTAGAGTATCAATATCTGCAACTCGAGATGTTTGTTTTATGGGAAGAAACGAATCATGTTTATTTAGAATAAGTAGTGATATGCCAAAAGATGTCAGTAATTTGAACATAACAGTTCGAGATTTCACAGCTTCGTTTGAAAAACAAAATCGAGAATGGATAATTGCGTGGAAACGGAATAATAATTGTCAACCTGAAACTTTAATGAACAAGATTGCTGAATATACTAACCCTGTTGGCATAAAACACGAATACGAAAAAGAAAGTTGTGTTGGAGAAGAGATAACGATTTTGGTGAAATTCCGAAATCACTAACAAGACGTAACATCTTTTCTTTGTGCGGAAAAATGACGGAAAATCTTCCAGTTTGTGGTTGGTTGCGTGTAGCCTCGTCATATGCTAAAAGAGTAGCAAAAGCCTTGATAAAAACGTGGGATTAAAAAATAAAATGCAATTCTCTGGAAAAAATGTTAAATGATATGATAAAAAGAACACAAAACGACGACCCTGCTAAAGGAATTTGGAGTGTTTACAGTAACGAGGCAACAATTTATGTAAATGCTAGTTCAATAGCACTAGGCGTGGTTGTCGAGGTTGATGGCAATATAATCGAAGACGCTTGTTGGTTAAGAAAAGACGACACAACACATATAAACATGTCTGAACTTGACACAGTAATTAAAGAACTAAATATGGGCCTTAATTGGAAAATGGAAATTCTACGCATCTGCACTGATTCGAAAAGCGGTATTCCATTGGGTTACAGACGCACTCACGGGGAAAATCTAGATTGAGAACAAAAGCTTCAAACGAAATGCTGATAAGAAGAAGACTTCATAACATTGAGAATATAGTGGAAGAATACCAACTCAAAGTAGATATTAATCTTGTTGCTTCGGAGTTTAACTTAGCCGATGCCTCTACTAGAGTGCCCAATAGTTAATTAAAATTGGTTGATAAACCCTATGAAATGGCAGCAAGTGGCATTAGTAGTACTTCCCTATTTCCCAAAGACATTGAGCAGGTTCATAGATCTACAGGACATTATGGCGTGAAGAAAACATTGTACTTCGCTATTCAAGAACTAACGCGATATTTCTCGAACAAGGAGGTTCGGATGAAATACTGATGGACAATGATACTACATTTCGAAGCACATTGTTTTCTCAGTTTGTAAATAAATGGAAAGTTAAACTTCGATTCAGGTGCGCTTATGTACCTTCGGGAAATGGAATTACAGAACAATGTCACCGAACTGTCAAAAGAACGGCGAAGAGAGTTCCGTGCAGCATACTGGAGGCAGTTTATTGGTATAACGTTAGTCCAAAAGATAGTCGTAAGTCTTCTGCTGCACCTGCAAATAAGTTATATCAATACGAAATTAGAGTAAGAGAAATTGTTAACAACAAGAATGCACATGATCCTCGTAAGAAGATAACCAATAAATTCAAACTTGGCGATAAAGTATGGGTTAAACCCCAGGACAGCCGATGCGACTCTCAATATAAGATTGGAATAATTATAGGGATAGTCTCGGAGTAAACGGTAGAAGTGGACAATATGTGTCGACATGTACGAGACATAAGACAAGTAAAAGTTGACAACAGACGTCGGTGTTACGTAGAAGCACACGAGAAAGGAGGGCCCATGAAAGTTTTAGTCCTTAAGACGAGATGGTCATTGTGACCAAGGGAAGTGTAAAGTGTAATTATATTTTATGATTGTTAACGATCGATTTGCGTTAATTGTAAATAGTTGTATATAATATAAAGTCATAGTTGTAAATACCAAAAGAATAGAAAAGATGAGGCGTTTAACGCTAAACTTATAAAGTCGATTTTGATGTGAAACAACAATATATATATATATATATATATATATATATATATATATATATATATATATATATATATATATATATATATATATATATATATATATATATATATATATATATATATACATATATATATATATATATATATATATATATATATATATATATATATATATATATATATATATATATATATATATATATATATATATATATATATATATATACATATATATATATATATATATATATATATATATATATATATATATATATATATATATATATATATATATATATATATATATATATACATTTATATATTTTAACGTGCTATACATAGCACGTAATTCAATAAAAACATCAGAGACAACATCACCGATATCGGTGAAGTTGTGTTAAACTGACGTCAATTTATTTCAAGCTTTAATATCAATATGGCCGCTGCCAGAGCAGGAAATCCATCAGTATTGCAAAAATATTTTAACGCCTTTCGAGGCTGGTATTTAAACGCCTCAGGATACAGAGCATTAGGTTTATTTTTTTTATGGTTCATTTTAAATTTATTTAGTAAAATAAATCATTTTAAATATTAGACGTATTGCATTTAAGTCGCTTTTTTAAACTGTATAAATTAAGTGTTGCTTGAGTGTTATGCATACCACTTAATAAAGGCTCAATTACAAGTAATATAAAGTGTTTTTTGTAACACTTGAGCATGCATTCTTCATAACACTCAAGCATCTATAATTTATAAGCATGTTATGGAAAATATTTTTTAATTCTTGCAGTTTCTATGTTAGGGTATGGTTATGTTCTTTTCCTTGAGTTTGTTTAGACAATACATTTGAGTGACCTTTTATTTTTTTTTTTTATCATTCATCTTTTTCTTGATTTTTTTCATTGTTTTCCTAAAGTATAATTGTATACTTAAAAAAGGAAGTTAACATTTGTTTTTGTAAAGTATAAAGTTTCTCTTTATAAAAAATGTTTTTGAAATATTCAGAAATAAAAATAAAAAAATATAAAGTAGTTAGGCTATATATACACTACCTGATAAACATAAATTTGATTGCAAGCCGAACTAATCCTCATAGATTGTTACAACTAAAGTTTTTAAGCTTTTATATTATTTTGTTAAATCATATCTATCCTTTTTTAATCATGGTTTAAACATGATTTTCTTAAAACGTTTAAATACAATTTTAGTTTACTAACTTGCATAATTTCACACAAGATTTGTTAACATTTACATAACCTAAATTTGAGTATTTATTTAGTTTAAAAAAAGTGAAGTCCAAGTTTTTTAAGAGACTCATTGCTTTCTTTTCCATGATTAAGTTTTAAAAAGCTATTTTGCAGTTACATTTTTTTGTTGATAGCAATTTAGATGTTAAAAATAAGTGCAATAAGAAAAATATTCTTAAAATTAGGCAAGAATTTTCTTTTTCTAATGTTAAAAACATCAGTTATAAACAGTATTAGCTATTGAAAACAGGTTTGAGAAAACAAAACAACATTGAGATTCTAGCATAAACTTTAATTTATTTTATACAATTTTCATATGTTTTCAGTACTTCAAAAGAAGTTGTTTATAAAATTTCTTGTTCAATCTGTTTTATCCTTAATAATTTTTCGAAATTGTTTTATTTTTTGTGTGGTATATGTGTTATAATTTCTTAAGATTTTATCACAAGGAAGGATTATATATTTTTTTACCAATTGATCTTTTTTGTATAAATTAATTTTTTGAAGGGCAAAACCTTTTATTTAATACATAACTTAGATTGCTACTAATTAAATATTTAAAAAAAAAAATTGTGATTTTTAAATTATGAGCCTGGCAAAATATAAATCCAAAGTTTCTTTAAACTGAAAAATCATCCTTTCAACCATGAAAATGAGACAATAATACTAGCATAAAATTGTCTTTAAAAAGAGTTTTGTTTTACAGTTATTTGTATTAAGAAAAAGGTTGCTTAAAAAAATATGCAAAAAGAATTTGCTTTAGAATAAATAGCAAAATAGATTAAAGGGATCGTCCATAAATTGTGTTACGCAAAATTAAACTCTTTATTTGACTAATGGTTAAAAGTTTTTCTTCGTAGAGTCTTTTGTTAAACCAAGTATATAATCAATTTTTAAGTCGCGCGAAAACTGCTGCGCAAAAGAATAAAATGATCTCCTACTTATATTTTTTAAATAAGTTTTGCGTTACGTAATTTATGGATGATCCCAAATAACAAAAAAAAACAACTATTGTCAAGATTGCTTGGCAGTATAAAATGGTGCATAGATTTTTAATGCAGTTTAATAATTTGTTAAAAACATACAGGTAAATACAAGAAGCAAGTTTATCTGTTTTTCACTCAAATCAGCAAATAAATAAATTTTCTGAAATTCGTTCCAAGCAAAGTTTTCTTGTACTTTCAGTAAATCAAGTAATTCACTCCTGTCAAAAAATCTAGATAACATCTTCGGTCTGACATGGAGAAATGGGATATAGGGTTTGAAAGCCTATGATATCAGGAGCATAAAAAAATTAGAATCAAAACATATCCAAAAAAGTTATTAAACATTTAGTTTTATTACTATAAACAGCAATGAAAGAAATGACAGCATTAAAAAATATGGCATTTCTACAGTACAAAATAATAATTAATTCTTTAATTCACTAACAAGAATAAAGTATACATGATTTTTTATTTGAGTGAGACTGTTTTAAAAGTCTAAAGGCAGTTTTACAAATGCTTGCTGTTAAAATCAATAACACGTTTTTGAAGTTGAGTTTCATATTCTGGATGTGAAATGGAATGTTTAGACTATTGCCCATTATTCTAAAATTAGTGATGCAAAGCTTTAGTTGTTTGTTCTCTATAATTTCCTAATGGAGTGTTCTTTCTCATGATGAAATCCTTGATATGAAAAAATATAACATGGACTTATGGTGTCACGTTTTCTGTTGGAAGTGCCAAAAAAGAGTGCTTAAAAAGAACAATTTTTTCATCAAAATTGTGTTGCATAACATTCCCAAAGTATGCCTTTACAACAGCATTGAACTTGCGACAATCTTTGCCAATGAATTGGCCTCTATGGTAAGGCTGTGGGTTAGTATAAAGAGTTGCTGTCCACTGATTAATATGAGGCCAGATAGTTTTAAGAATTTTGAAAAGGTGGTTGACAACCCCAAGCAATCATGTAGTTCCATAGGTGAAATCAAGTCCAAAACAAGGACAGTGTCATCTGTTTTAAGAATGAGTTCATGAATGAGATTTACAAATTTTCTTGTAATTTTTACATCATTGCCAGCAGAATCAAATGCTTGAAAAGAAGCTTTGAGAAAACCAAATTTTTGCAGTTCTCCACATTTAGCAAGATTGGTGAAAAATGCTGTGGGCCAAGTGTTGGGCGGGTGCTTGGAAGAGTGGGATTGAAAACCACATAAAATATTGGCTACTTTCATATCACAAAATACCACCAATCTTTTAATTAAACCTTGGTCAATATGAAAACATGCTTGCAGTTGGTATAATTTATTGACACTCCTTTTGCAACCACCATCTTTGGAGTTTTTTGTAGTTAAGAGTCACTTTCTTGGCAGTGAGTTAATAAGATCAGGCCTTGTATCTGACTCTACAATCCCAAGAGAAAATTTTAAAAATCCTGCACCTCTGTCTATTCCAAGTTTAATGATATGCTCAGGAAATATCTTTCTTTCCAAAACAACATAGTCAAGCAATTTATTAATGTCTTTACAGTGGATTTTTTTTCCATTTTTGACCCTTTTTCTCTGTTTTTCAAGTTTTGAATGTGTGAAAAAATCTGCAAGATTGTTACCTTAATCCAGGCTTGGTCGGGAAGCGGGAGCGATCGCACTCGAATACTGACCACGGAAATTATATTTAGTTGCGTAAAACTGGCCAGGTTTTTTAGTCGTTTTGAGAACATTTAAGTTTATGTACGAAACAAAAAATTTTTGTTTTACGGACATACATGGAAACATAAAAAAACTTTAATGTTCTCAAAACATCTTTGTGCGAAAGAATAAAAAGAATATTTGCGAACACTAAAAATCCGCCAAATTAACAAACAAACTAATTCTATTGGTTCAAAAAATACGCTGTTTAAGCGAAATAAAGTTCTAGAGTATTCTGTTAAAATGTTTTAAAAAATTGTATTATACACGATTTGTTACGTTTTGAGATTTCTAGCATTGTTTTAAGAATATATATTATTTGTTTACGAAAATAAATGTTTTAAATATAATTGATTAAATTGTTATAATTTTAAAAGTTTATTATAAATCATAGATTTTATTAGTATATTCTTATTTTTTATTTTAAAAGAGATTGTATTCTTTATGTAAATGTAATTTTGTGTATTTGTTTTTTATCGTAATGTATCTTTTAAAGCAATTTTTATGATTTAAACAAAGACTTACAAAAATAATTGCGTTTTCAATGAAGTTTTAATCGTTAAAGTTAATAAAACTAATTATGCAACAAACATATAAGTAGTTTCTGGTTACTAAACACAAAAAACGCATACAAAGTAACTCGCGGATGAACAAGCATCGCGCCTAAGGTCACGACTAATATACTTTTTTCTGCTTTAAATACTAATTAAAATTAAAAAGCCCACTCACTAAACATCATCAGCGATATTGCGAAGCAGTTTCGCTTCCTGGTCATTAAGTATTTTTAACCTTTTTAGTTGATTTCTATCTTGATTATTTAATTCCTATAGTAATTCGATGATTTAATTTTTTCATTTGTTTATCTTACTAAGAAGAATCGCTTCAAATATGTTAAACTTTTCAAACTACTCGAAACATAAAATAGGTATTAAAAAATTAACTTTTTTATTTATAAAAAAATTTAGCTTAAGTAAAACTAAAACTGGCAAACTTAGTTAAATAAAGAATATTTATTTCCCTTTTAAACGATCGTAAGTTGTTACTTTATATAAAAAACATCGCTTAATTTTTTTTTTTTTTCGTAATTGTCTCTCATCGGTCCAATCAATCTTCGTCGCTTTTTTTTTTTTTGCTTTTTAAAATGTTCTCAAAACGACTAAAAATCTGGCCAGCTTTTCGCAACTAAATATTATTTACGTGGTCAGCAATCGAGAGCGATCGCTCCCGCTTCCCGACCAAGCCTGTTAATCCAAGAAATTTTGAATCAATATATGGTTCCATGACTTTAATCTTTGAATTGAGAGTGGATATGCCAAGGTTGGATATTCCAGTATTGATTTGAATTTGAGCAAAATCTTGTGCAGTCACTTTTGTGCAAGCTTCAAAAAGTTGTCTAGCATTTGGTGGACCTAAATAAAAGAAAATTAAAATAGATAAAACCTCATTACATGTATTTTAAAATGAAATTTCAAAAGGAGAACCAAAATTAACTGGTGTCAGTGGAAAAAGTCTACCACCATTAGCCTGACCAACACGAATAGTCCCATGTGGTGATGACTCTGATGAGACAGTGGCATGATTGCTCCCTTGTGGACATCTTGGATAAATTCCTTTAAAA